ACTGTTATTTGGGGAAAGAATATGAATTATACAGTTATTACAAGAGTTTAAAACTTTTGCTTGGATATGCTGAAGTTGCTACTGAAACATTGTACCAACCACAGGCTTTGACATTCAAATCACAGCCAGTGATTTTGGGCCTTCTGAGGAATAGTGTTCCTAGAAACAGTGTCTGTCATTGTTAGTTTTATTCTCTCACAAAATGAGAACTCTGGATCATGTGAAGGTGTGTCAAGTAAAATCTATGTTCAGTTTGCAAAGATGTGAAATTGCGTAACTTCTATAATTTCAGGCCAAATGTTAGAGTTTGCATGCCATACAGTCAATTTTATGCACACAAATAAATCACAGTTTATATATGTATGTCCCTTGAAACACATTTTTCTGCAGTTAGAATGGAAAAAGGAGAATAAAGAGTCCAACTGTACATGAGATGTGAAAATCAACTATAAGTAATCATCCTCTTGTGCACTAGAATTAAAGATGCTTACAGTAACAGACTGGGGAGAACTAGGAGTAAGCCACTGCCAAAGTTATCACCAATTTTCACCTTTACCATTTATCACTTAGAAAAATCTGCTTGCTGCTTCTATATTCCTCTATATGATTTCAGAGAGAAAAAGTAAATATGCTGCTTCACATTTAATTTTTAACAGTTAATTGCTGCATAAATACATAGCACAGAGCACAGACATTTCATAAAATTAGAATGGTTCTGAAATATTCAGCTGCCTCTATTTACATTTCTTATGCAGCAGATACATCTAAAAGACCTACTCTGAAGTGACTCTTTCTAAAGGAAGGCAAAGTTAAATTTGCCTAGAGAAGGTCTGAAGCAGAAGTTTAAACTCCTTATCACTTTGAAGGCAATAGAACTGACATTTATTGCTGTGCCCTGCCAAACTACAGCCCCACCTCTGGATAACTAAAGACTATATGGCAGATGGATGCTTTAAGAGCCTTCCCCCGAGTCTTCCAGTGCATATCGTGTTGTCTGTTTAGATGATAAACTCCTGGAAAGGCCTGGACCTGTACATTTTTCTGTGTTTTGTGCAGCTCTACTCTTTATGGTGGTTAAAATTATCATCACGATTAATCCATAGATAAACTACCCTAAGGAAGCCAATGTTGCCTGCCCTGCAAGAGCATGGTCTCAAATGCAGCATAAATACCATTTGCTTCCCATTATTTACAGTGCCTATTGTGGTTCCCCAAGGAGCCATGTGTCCAACACCTAATTCATGGGTCACACAGGAGAGATGAGCACTGACTTTATTGGACTGTGAATTAGGCCACTAATACGTAACACCCCCAAAGCCTGCAGGCTGACGTTATATATGTGTATATATATACACCTCTGTGCCTCCCACATCTACTTGTGCTATCAGGCCCCTCAGAACACCAGTAAACCCTTGCCAACTTCCTGACCAAAGCCAGGGCAGAACCAGCCAGAACACTGCATTTTGCAATAGTGCTGAGCATCTGTCAACATGCTGTTTCCATCGCAGTTATCACCCTTCTCTGTGTACTTGTACAAAAACTGTTCCCTTTGAATCATGTCACACAGACTTCAGCTCTTGAAATGTTAAAACCCAAGGTAATGTATCATCAAATGACATAACATTGATGTGATTTTTCCTGTCTACTACTTTCACAACAATTGAAGCAATGGTGACTTTTCCAATGGAAAAAAAAAAAAAAAAAAGACAAAAACAAACAAACAAACAAACAAACAAACAAACAACAACAAGAAAAAAACAAAATAAACCCCACAACCTGAAAAAGATGATGGCAGAGACATTAAATTTATTTTCAGTATGTCAATCTTGTTTTTTACTTAAATTGGTGGTATGAAAGGACATTTAATCATACAGAGCCATCATGCATACCAAGGCACATCTCCCTGTGGGCAGGGCACCAATGTCTAGAGTGTTATAACACTCTAAACACTGATATGTAAATAAGCCACAGAACTTTAATGTAAGTTCAAGGATGATTTTTGAAAGGTGAACGGCATAGGTAAGTTTCACTTTTTGCTAAGTGTATATGGTTCCTGTTCTTTGATATTTATACTTACATAACATGACTTTCAAATAACTTCAACTGGAAAGTACCAAATTAGCTCCATCATCTAAACTGAGTGGAGTAAACATCCCATACGTAACGCCTTCCTCGGGGAATGGGTTTCCTTCCCATTTGTGGTTAAAAGAACATGGACACACAGAAAAAACAAATCCAAAGAGGGAAGAAAAAAGGAAAGAGACGTGCCAAAGAACGTAGACATAATATGTACTTTACTGCCTGTTAGGACAGTAAATTCCTGGCAGGGCTCATGCTGATTAAATCTTATTTCCAATGTTTATAAACTATAATTGTGATAAAATCTGTAGACAAAATCTCCTAAGAAACCCAGTATAGCTTGCCCTGCTGGTGTAGAACACTAGCCTTCTACATACCACAAGACAGTTTGAGTTCTGAATTAATCTCACATATGAAAATAAAACTAAGCCTAACTTCCATCTGTATTGGGTTTGCATGGCCAGGTTTTGGTAGCGGGGGGGCTGCAAGGGTGGCTTCTGTGAGAAGCTGCCAGGAGGTTCCCCTATGTCCAACAGAGCCAATGCTGGCCAGCTCCAAGACAGACCCACAGCTGGCCAAGGCTGAGCCCAACAGCAACAGTGGCAGCACCTCTGGGATAACATATTTAAGAAGTGGGGAAAAAACTGCACAACTGCAATTGCAACCAGATGAGGGGAATGAGAATACGTGAGAGCAACAACTCTGCAGACACCAAAGTCAGTGAAGGAGGAGGAGGAGGCACTCCAGGCGCTGGAGCAGAGATTCCCCTGCAGCCCGTGATGAAGACCATGGTGAAGGAGGATATCCCCCTGCAGCCCATGGAGGTCCATGGTGGAGCAGATCTCCACCTGCAGCCCATGGAGGACCCCACACCAGAGCAGAGGGACGTTCCAAAGGAGGTTGTGACCCCATGGGAAGCCCACGCTGGCACAGGCTCCTGGCAGGACCTGTGGCCCCGTGGAGAGAGGAGCCCAGGCTGGAGCAGGTTTAATGGCAGGACTTGTGACCTTGCAGGGGACCCGCGCTGGAGCAGTCTGTTCATAAAGGACTGAGCCCCATAGAAGGGACCCACGCTGGAGCAGTTCATGAAGAACTGCAGACCGTGGGAAGGACTCACATTGGAGAAGTTCGTGGAGGACTGTCTCCCATGAGAGGGACCCCATGCAGGAGCAGGGGAAGAATGTGAGGAGTCCTCCCCCTGAGGAGGAAGTAGCACAGAGACAACATGTGATGAACTGACCGCAACCCCCATTCCCCATCGCCCTCTGTCACTCGGTGTGAGGAGGTAGAGAAATCAGGAGTAAAGTTAAGCCTGGGAAGAAGGGAGTGGTGGGGGAAAGGTGTTTTATTTCTCATTACCCTACTCTGATTTGATTTGCAATAAATTAGGTGACTTTTCCCAAGCTGAGTCTGTTTTGCCCATGACAGTAATTGGTGAGTGATCTCTCCCTGTCTTTATCTTGAGCCATGAGCCTTTTGTTATATTTCTCTCCCGTGTCCAGCTGAGGAGGGGGTGTGATAGAGCAGCTTTGGTGGGCACCTGCCATCCAGCTGGGGTCAACCCACCACATCACCCCTGATATTCCACCTTACAAAACACTTACACAGCCAGTAGCCTTTACTCATGAATTACAGCAGCAGTTACTACAATCAATTCTGAGTACCTAGCAAATCTATTTAAGAGAGTCTCTAGAATACTTAAAAGGCTTGACTTCTGTTTTAATCTCTGTTTTTCTGAATAGCAAAATCTACTCACATTACATTACATGTATATACACTTACACAAAAGAAATTTTCAAATGAATAAGGGAGAATCAACCTAATGGTGCACTGAACTGTGAGTCATGAACACTTGTAAAAGTCCATATTCACTTGTTTTATCTCTTTTTCACAAAGGAACTCATTTTAGCCCAGAACTTAAAACAGATGCTTAATACTCTGCTACATTGTTCCAATACAGCCAGAAAAACAACTATTTATTCTGTGTCATGTTTGAGTTCAATAATATTCATATTCTAAAAAAGGGCAACGAACTCCTAAAGATTTCCCAACAAATGTAACTATAGTTTTAGGCCTTCCTCAATAGGAATATTCTGTAAATTCCAGATGTATCAATCGAACTTTGGTATTAAATTTTACCTTTAAATAATTTAAATCTACTGGAGCAACACAGAATACTCAAGGTTGACAGTGTGCACTCTTTCCTGCTGAGCATGAATAGGTGAACACAGATGCTTCTAAGGCTATCTTGTAATTCTCTAGCACCAGCTCTATATTATTTGCTTTAAAATATGATGCTAAAACTGCTTTAAGCAATGAGATGTGAGGATTCCTCAGCATCAGCCAGGCATGTCAGCTTGTCTCTGGGGTGAAGGAAGTATGTGGAGTCAGCTGGGAGGAGGAACAAAACAACTTAAGAAGTGTAAAAAGGGTAGGGGCAGAGATGCATAAGTGGCTGTTGATTTCAGCCAACGTAACAGTCCCTACAGGACCAGTTCAGCTGGCTTCAAAAATGGAACAGCTGGAACCCCCTGCCTCATACAGAGGTCCAGATCAGCTCTTGACTGCTTCTCAAGTCAAGAGAGGTATTTATCTGACACATGGTTACATCTGCCCAGTCAATGTATGAGCATGGAGTAGTCCTCTCCAAAGAATTACTCAAAAAGAAGTATCAGACCTTCCAACCACATCCCAAATAACTTCATGGAGTATGACAAAATCAAAAGAAAATGAGAGAAAACAGATGTGTGATACAAGACATAACACATAGTCACAGAGAGAACTGTCAGTATGCAAATGGGCACATTAAAAGCTTTATCAAGCTCAGAGATTTCTAAAAAGCCATCTTCATAAAAATACATACATGAAGCACTTAAACAACTACAGCATCTTGCAAGATATTCATTGAGAAATATAAGTACCTGTTGTCTCCAAGGGCAGGATCCTTGGGTTTAGCATCATTATCATAAACAAAACGCTCTTGTGAGATCACTATGACACTGTCTGTAGTTTCATTTCCCAAGATAGTGATAACAGGATAACCCATCTGTAGTGTCCACTGATCCATTACTTCTTGGATATTTACAGATTTTCCAACCCTTTTTAAAGCCTTCAGGAAAAAAGAAAAGTTTCAATATGCTGAAGCAATATCATCATCCAACATATAAAACTCTTTTTTTTTTTTTTTTTTCTCCCAGAGACCATAATTAGTTTTAGAGGTTTAAATAACCATCACACATGCACACACGCATGTTTACAACCAGTATGCACACACTACATTATTTAACCAACAGTCTCTGTATATCTTGGAAGCAAACATTGAGCAATCTTGCCAGACAGGAGAGTGACAGTCAGAAAGTCATGTTTCCCACATCAGTCATGCACTTTTATTGTAACAGAAGAAACAACTTGCTTTACAGGGTTTTAACAAGAGCCACAGAAATATTGGGAGGCTGTCTCCAAAAGATATTCTTGATCAGCTAAGGTTAAAGATGACTCAGTGTTAGCTGATCTAGGGTTCCTACAATAAGGCATATTCAAATGACTTGTTTTCTACAAGCATAGAGCTTCTCTGTTCTGAAAAATCAAATGACTAGTTATTTGAAAATACTGTCTCTCATGTCCAAAGTGAGGCCATGTATACAAAGGTACCCCCAGCTCCTTCATAAACTGCACCTGTCAAAACACACAGAGGATTAATGTGTTCATATCTGATACTGTATGTTAACAAAAATGCTGTTTTACAAGAGGATTTTCATCTGAAACAAAAATAGGTACTATAGAATCATGGGAGATGAGAGTGTGTATGAGAGGAATGATAGGCATCATTAGTTCTTCAGCGACTGAAATATCCCTAGCTGCCAAACAGTCCTAGATTACACACTAAGCAACCTCTGATGAATACAAGCAGAACCCAGCAAGAAGTCTTCAGAACTGAAGATGCAATTGTAATACATTAGGAACAAATGTGCTTACAGGTGAGGCAAACGGAATTATTAGCCTTAACAATAGACTTGAGCATACAGTATAGCCACAGTGATTATGGACCAGAATACAGTCTCATTTTTGTTCTATTTTATTTGCTGTGGGTTCTGCTGCTCTTTCAAGATTATGTGCATCCCTCTGACCTCCCATTGCCTAAAACTCTCCTACATGCTTTAACAGAGGAAGACAGCAGGTGAGAAGCAACAAAGACTTTTGCAGTGGCATTCAACTTCAGATTAAGACACAGATTTAAGAGTGTGACTGTACGTTACATGCCTTAATTCTCATTAACTGTCAGTACAGACATAGGACTTGGTTCGGTTGCCCACACACAGGTAGCTAATGTCATCTGACCTTGACCTGACACTCCAGAAGGGTACATATTTACCCACAGATCTTGTGTGAAATCGATTAGACTCAGCTGAATGTTTTGAACACCCTACTGCACCTAATCTGCACTATCTCAAGTCCCTAGTCAACAGTCAGTGGTTTGGGTTCATTTTAAAATAATCACGTAGTGGCTAGTCAACTGAATTGCTCTTGATGGTCTGCTGACTGTATTGCCTAGATTTCTGGGACTCCAGTTGTTTCTATTCATGAACTGTCAAATGAGATGTCCTAAAATATTCAACACATCCTTGTAGAACTGGTGGACCTACAGCAGGCATATTTATGTGGCAGCTGGAAGCCAGGCAAGATAAACTAAGGTAAATGTTGTTAAATGTCTATGAACAGGCAACTGAACCCAGGCCTCATTGACAACATTTGAGGCTTGGACACCTAGTTTATGTGTATATATATGCTTATTTAGATAAATGTAGATGTCTTGACCTGCAGCTGAATCCCAGTTTTGGTGTTGGTAGTTGCAACTGGATTACCATGTTTACACATGGCTTGATTTGGTACTTGTGGCCAAACTCTCTGACTGTACTCTGCATTGGCTTACACTGTCTTTAGTCTGGAGTACCCAGACTAGATCTGTAGGTAAGGAATTCAGGCATGCTTGGCTCACTTGTGAAGATTAGACTCTGCCTTTACAGATCCCAGGACTAGGCTCTAGAACCTCAAGCCGAGCTTGGGCAGAGCAACCGAAGGGAGCATGGACATAGCAACTGTAAGGCTCTATCTACATCATGCCAAATGTTACAGTAAATAGTTACCTGTTTAAACCAAACTTTAAAGCTTTAATAGTTTTGTCCTTCAAACAAATCATAACTCCATACAAAATCACAGACACACCTGATGCAAATGCCAAAGCTCAGCACTTTCATGTGCTTTACAGCTTATGGGCCTCAGCGTGCTGCCACTAAAGTCAATGATAGCAGATTCCATTAAGCATCTTTTACTGCACATCAGTGATACAGCACAAGCAAGGAAATATATTCTAACATAACAAAGAACAGAAATGCTGCAAAAAAAAATATTTTAATGTTGCCACTAGGTTAACTCAAATGGAATTTCTTTACATCAATTTTTATATTTGCTCTGGGCTCCAAAGATCTCAATATGCACTATTCACTCCTAACCTCACCAAGAAAAATACCACAATAAATTCCTGTTTCTCCCTTAGTGCAACAGATTAAAGCATTTTACCTTTGACAATGTGTTCCAGAGATCATTTCTGGCTGCATTGCCATACTTGTGAATGGTTAAATAGTCCTACAGAAATAAAATAAAAATACAAATCAGTATTACTATACACAAGCCAAACAACTAGAGCTGTGAATCACTGCTATTAGAAGTTAAATCACAGTGTTTGCATTTGCCAGAAATCTAGAAATATAAAGTATGTTCATCTTAAGGGAGTAAATAAACAGTTTCTTAATCTAGTTTACAATGAAAAAATTGTTCCTAAAGATTTCTTTTACAGCATTCAATGCTCTTCCTTTTCTGTGTAAGTCACTCTATAAGCTAAATATTTTGAATATACGTTTAAAATACTTGTCTAATCTCAGAAGGGGCTCCTAGGTAATTCTTGGCAATGAAAGGAGAAGCTGCTGAAACACAGTTCCAGTTGCTATTTTAGCAGGTCATTCTGCATCTGGAGTCAAAAATTTGCTCACTCAGATGACAGCTAGATTTGCTACAAAAGATTTAACTGAACAATAACTTACCTGAACTACAAACTCTTATCTTGGGAGATCCTGGCACTTCAATGTCAAAATACATCGTACTGTCAACTAGGGCTGTAACAGGTTATCACAGAGGCTCTCCGTGACAGGGAGGGGTGGAAGAGGGGTGACGGGAACCAAACTCCATGCTTACACACAGGTACCTACATGTGTGTTTTCATGACATATGTGACTCAGAGTCTGAGAAGGTTATAAACTGAATGCTTTCACTTATTCAGCCACAGTTTCAATGACTGAGGGTCCATTCTTCTCCCACAGCAACAAGAAAGATAATTCCTGATAAGTAATGATGCTATTAAATTAACTTCCCCAGTTAACAGTTTAAGCATATGACCAGGCTAGGTCTGTGCTTTTCAGGCACAAAACACTTCCGTTTTTTAACAATATCTGGAGAGACAACACTGTTAGTTTCCCAACATCCTATGTCCCTAGACAACAGCTCATTCAATTACTGAAGTGAAATTCAGCAATCATTATTTGAATAACATATATTTCAAGCATTCTGATTGGAAGAATTACATGAAAAAACACATCAGAGGTTGTAAATCAATGGGTTCTCCTGCATTTGAATTTCTACCATCTCCACTTTACACAATGGTAGGAGACAAACCCTAATTTATAGCACAATGATAAAACTGGGACGAATTTGCTGACTCTGTTATCTGTGCTTTGTCTGAAGTAAGATACTTTGGGAATAATTAGTATTTGGAAAGCAAATTTTCCGATACACAAATTGTAGCACCTGTGACAGATTCAGCTTTTGTCAGCCAACTCATAGTACAACAAGCAGCAACTCCCATTTAATCACAGGCTAGGAAGGCTAAATGAGAACACTGACTCTGTAAATGCAGTGCTGAGTCTTAACAATATCATGAGACTAACTTGGAAAAAAGACAGTATTATATAGGCTGTACCTATAGCACACTGTGCTTTCATACAGAATCATTTAAGGCACAGTGAAATATTCAATAGCTTTCAAAGCTAAAGAAGTTGAATTGCAAATTAAAAAGCTAAAATAGGAATAAACAAAAGTGGGACAAGGTAAATAAATAACAACAAATATGTATGTGCATTCTAAGCTGTACTAGAAAATGCTGCATGTATTGGTTCTGAGAGTTGCTTTCAGAATTGTTACACAGCAAAATAAAATGAGTGGAAGACTTCAGGACCTATTCCATCCAAGCAATAATCTTGTTTACCAATCCACCATTAGACATTAAATTTGACTTTTACATTTTGCATTCAGAAAGACCGCAAAAAGATCAAATGCTTCTGCCCTTTTCTTTTGTTTTCTTCTCCCAGTACACAGATTGGGAGGTTTAGATGTGGTTCATCACGCAGTTAAAAATTTATTATCCTCCAATCTAACATGTTTATCACAGAAAGGAAAACAAAAGGAATCCTAACATTTACAATTAAATAAGAAAATACAATTATAAACACAACATACTAGTACAGTCCTGGGACCATACAACTTAATCATCCTTTTTTTCATTATTTCCTGAAAGTTGCATTGAGACCATATACATAGCATCAAACTAGGGGTGTTATTGAATGCATACTACACAAAAAGCAGTCATAAGGGACAGTGTGCAGCAAAATATGCTTCCAGTAGTAAATCTACATTGCAGTCCAAAATCTGAGTGCACTTTCTACAGGCACAACAGCAAAAGGTTACTGAACCAGTTCTCATCAAACATCCTCATATACCAGTATCCCATTTTCAACAATAACCAGTAGCAGACACCTCGAAAGGGCATAGAGAAGAACAAGCATGCAGTGATACTTCCCCAATATGCTCTCCCATCATCCAGCACTCCATGGCATAAGGAATCCTGAGCAGATTAGTATCTTTGTATTTAATAGTTGTCGTCTGTTAATTTGGCCAGTTGCTTTCTGAACCCATATAAATGTTTAACATTTGCAACACCTTATAAAAAAACATTTCCCATTTCAGTGATCTGCTGGGTGAAGATGCTTATTTCAAACATCTGCCTGTCATCTGGTTTCATCTGCTGCTCCCTAGTTCTGGCACTAGAAAACACAGTGCATTGCTGTTCCTCACTTCACTCTCCTCAAGCCATTCATGCTTTTACAGATCCATGTTGTTCGTATATGTCCTCATACCAGAGCTTGGTTTTATACTGAAAACACCAGACCCAACCACTCCCAGCTATGCTGCGAAGTTACATTTTGGTACCACCATCCAAGCTGTTGACTTCAAAGCTAGCTAGGGTTATCATGACCCAGCCTGAACTTTCATTACCAAACTATCAGCCTCTCTTGAAGCATCTTTCGTGGACAGGCACTCAACTTAAAAAGGAAGATAAAAGGCTTATACATATCAGCATCAAATACATCCCAGGAATTATTAAAATAGAAGCCAAAGATCTATACGTACCCTTCCTGTCTGTTCTAAGGATGGAACAAGCAGGAATATAATCCATTCTTCCTGCTGGGGACCCATATCTAAGTCTTAAGTAGCTTGCAAAGAGGCAGAAGACATGTTTTCATTTACTATAATTCTCCAGGGCAGAAGCATTAGCCACCCCTTCACATTTACAGTGAATAGAGAAGAACCAAAGCTAACAGAAAAGAGATGCAAGCCACTGAACAGAAAAGGAGGCTGACACTGAAAACACAGCTGCTTGCATCTAAGCTGCGCTCAGCACAGCTCCAAAGGAGGTAGAGTGACTTAAAGCCACTCTCATAAACACATATGCCCAGAACCATCTGGCTGCAAGGCTGCTTCCCATCATAAACTCATAAGCCTGTATCACCTACAAAAGCTGTTCCTTCAAAACTGGAGTATGCTGGAGCATGAAGATATGCTTCAGCCATTTTCCTGACTTTCAGCTATAACCCTACAGTATGTGTGAGAAAAGATGGCATGAAAACCTCTTTAACAACCCAAGACTCAAGAGCACTCTTCCACAACTACCATTTTCTCCTTCACTGTAATGCCACTTTTAAACCTTTTCTTTGTCATGAAGAAAGTAGAAAGAGAGTTCACAGACCTAGTGTAGTGTCACTCAACATGAAAATTAATCGCACACACAAAAATTATCATTTGGTTTTACATTTTCGGCAAGTATCCTCTTGTAATATTCTTCTTAACATCTTGGCATTAGAACATGAAACCACTCTGTCAAAAAGAATAACAGAATATGATCCCCTCACCTCTACCAATAAAAAATATTTTATCAGACAATGTGGTTTTCTGACAGGTAATTTAGTAATTTTTAACATCAAATCAAAAAAAAAAATCCAAAATCTGTCACAGCGTGAGAACAAAGTCCAATTACTACACAACCAAAACCTAAAATCTTGCAAAAAATCCCAATAGATTTAGATTGTAATATAATGTTTTGTTAAATAGTAATCATAATCCCTCCCCAAAAAATTAAAAGGCTCAATGTTTTTGAAATTATTTTACTACTTGAATACTGAAGCAGATAGTTTGAACAGTAGTAGAAATAGGAGTACAGCAAAAAGTGCTAAAGGATTTTTGAAAGACGTTTTTAGTAATGTTATATTGATTAAGCTTGCAGGCCTTTTATTGTATTAGACTTTTTAAAGAAAATTAGATTATTTAAAAGGAAAAAATCTTTTATCCTTTTACAATCTCAGTTCTCTCAGTACTGCTAGGGATTGAGCACCTTGGTTTGAAAAAAATTAACTACCCCATCATTCAAACATGATAATGCTCATAACTAATAAAAGGTAGTGACTGATAAATACAAAGAGGTTAAACAAGTCTAGAGGAGGAATAAGTCTCTAAATATGTATCTAACTTCCAGGGGAGACTTATAACCAGGAACTTAATTATCACTTTCTGTGACCAAACTCTTTTTTTCAGTTTATCTGTATGAAGTTGGGTTGTTTGGCTGAAAGAACAGCTCCCAACTTACATGAGTGGTGCTGAGATCTGAAACAAATTAACATTGAATAATTTACTTTTTCTCCTAAAGATAACTGGGAAACTTCACTATATAAGATGCGTGAGGAAAAAGTAGCAAAATATTTTGGCATCAAATTATTGTGGCTATGTTCCTCTGAAAGCCCTCATTTCTCAGGGCTCAGAAAACAGCAGTCTTGCCTCCACCTCCCTCTTCTGTATTTCATTCCTACTCCTGGGTGCACATCTTCCTCCCTTCAGGCTACAATAAGTTCTTGTTGAACAGTTTTATACATGACTGCTGTATCTCACCAAAGATTTAGAACTACTAATAAAAACATTTAGTTCAGGTGGAAATCAGGATCTAAAGCTCTGGCTATCAAATCCAGCATGTTTGTTTTCCCAGAAATTTGTGTACTTAACCTTAAGCCACCAGACACCATCTGACAGATGCTGACTCACTGACTATAACATGCTACCTTCTTTCCCCCTTGCCTTCACACTACTAACATCAAAACTGCTATCGCATGTTATCTTGACATTCCCTAACAGTCAAATAAAAAAGCTTGGGCAAGGGTCAGAGGGAGGAAGGTACTGCATATGTCTGCAATGGTGAGTGACAAACAAGA